CACTCACTCACTCACTCACTCACTCACTCACAAGTCTACACACTGGATCTCACCTACCACTTGACAGACTCTGCAGCAGACGAGGAGCCTTACAGCCTTACAGCAGAATAGTCAAAAGTCTGCAGTGCTATTGAGCTGATGTGATTAACAAGCCCAGGAATAGTGATTTTAGAGTAGGTGCTGTGAAGACTGTAATACAGAGGATATGGTAGAGAAAGGCCAGAAAGCTGGTAGCCAGGGAAAGTCTGTGACACAGCCCAGTAGTCGCATGGTCCCTAGAAGCAGGCTGGAATTCTGAGTAGAGGTCTCCTGGAAGCCTGTGAGGGTATGAGACAGGGGATGGCCCTTGAGCCAAGCGACCAGGCTCAGCAACAAGCCTCATCCTGTCCTCTCCTCCAGTATGCCCACAAGTTCGAGCAGGAGTTGCAAAACTTCAAAGTGGAAGTGAAGGATCTAGAGCTGTTGAGCCCAGCTGCTCACCGGGACCTGGAGGCTTTGCAAGGTAGCGGGCTGGAGAAAATACACTATGGAGACTTCCTTGTGCAGGTCAGTGAGGGGCACATGTGGTGCCCCAGCAAGATGTGGCAGTGAACAGAAGGGCCAGGTGTGTGTGTGTGTGTGTGTGTGTGTGTGTTGCCCCTTTCCAGCTCTCCACCATCTCTCCACTCCTGGGACTTCTTCCTGTTAAGGAACTAGTACACTTCCCCAGGTCCCTTAAGCAAGGTCATCTGTCGCTGTTCATGGTCCTGAACCCACTTTGCAAAGAATGGCGGTGTGACGCTGAGTTTCTTTTCTTCACACGTATGGATGTTTTGCCTGTGTGTATGTCTGTGTACCACATGCATGCAGTGTCTGTGGAGGCCAGAAGAAGGCAGCCGATACCATGGGACTAGAGTTTTAGATGGTTGTGAGTCACTAAATAGGTGCTGGAAATCCTGCCCCCAACCCCAGGTCGTCTGAAGGAGCAACCAGTGCTTTTAACATCTGAGCCATCTCTCCAGCTGGACACTGACTTTTCTTCAAGTCACTCTAGCTGGCATCTTGGTTTTTTTATTTGGAAATTCTGAAATACTTCACAGCTTCAGTTGAAACTCACCATGACTCACATCACAATAGACTGAGCCGGGGCTGAGAATATGGCTTCGTTGGTAGAGTGCTTGCCTAGCAGGCACAAAGCCCTGGATTCAATCCCCAGTGCTACATAAAGCCTGGTGTGCTAACAAATGCCTGAACCCAGCACATGAGAGGCAGAAGGAGGAGGGTGTATGAGACCTTCTCTGAGATTATAGATAGAGATGGGGGGCAGGGTGCAAATGAATGGACTTGGTGCAGGGCACATTTGACAAGTCTGGGAATTCAGAGGCTGAGGGTATATGGGGACATCTGGGTTCAGCCTTCTTGGTGTCTCCTGTCTTTGTTCAGATCCAGAAGCCTGTAGTGAAGACTGACATGGAGCAGCTGGCCCAGGAGCTGGAAGAACTGGCCCAGGCTCAAGTGAGAAGGGAGAAGGGACCTGTTAGCCAGACAGCCATCAGGAAGGAGATCTGGGCAGGAGGGACTAGGGATGTTGGGATTGGAGAGGGCAGGGACAGATGCTGGAGACTGAGGGCCCCACCCATGGATGCTCAGGCTTTTTACCCTACTCTTGGGCTTGAGGGGTCTGCAGCTTCAGTTCTCATTCAGGCACTGCTGCCAGTTTGCTGTGTGGCCTTGGGCAAGTCATTTCACATCTCTAGGCCTCTGTCCCAGTCTCCAATCTGATAAAGTTTCTGATCTAACCCTACACAGCAGGGCCAGCTTCAGACTGTCAGGACAGGTGCTGTGAGGACCCCCCTAGTGAACATGTGCACTCCGCACAGGACTCTCTGTAGTTACAGATATCTCAAGTTTCTGAAGTTCTCTCTAAGACGTCTCTGATTCCACAGCCAACTTGACCCCGGGTAGAGCAGAGAGCATTGCCCAATGTTCACAGCGGCTGCTACAGCTTACTTGGTGCCTGTGGCAGATTTAGTAGCATCCAGCTCAAGGCAGACTGAGAACAGGGAAAATCTGGGCTTGAGGATTTTCTCTCTGAGCCCAGCACTTGTCACCTCCCTTGGAGGGCTGTTGTTCCCGTTGGGGGGAGGAACCATTCTAATCCTTTTGTCTGCCCTCAGAACAACTCTGTACTGAGGCATCAACTACAGGAGGAGGCCAGACAGCTGCGAAGCCTCTACCAGGAGAAGGTTGTCCCCCAGCAGAGTCTTGTGGTAAGTTGGGAGGGAGTCTGGGGCCTGAGAGAGAGGAGGGATTGAGAGAGGGCAGTGAAAGGAGGGACGGGTTGCCCACATTCTCTATTTCCTGCTTCTGAATCCTTTCTTATAACAACCCTGATTCCTCCTCCACAGGCCAAGCTCAGCCTCAGTGTCAGGGCCCTGGAGTCATCTGCCCCAGAACTGCAGGTGGCTGATGGGAGTGGGGGGATGGGTCAGAACAGGTGGGCAATAGGAAAACAGGAAGGCGGCTCTGAGATCTCTGTTCTGTCTTGTCCCCTTGGAAGGTGAAGGGGGGGGGGTATAGGGGTCAGGCAATTGGAGACCTCTTTTTTTTTTTTTTTTTTTTTTTTTTTTGTCTCTGGGTCCTAGAGCCTGCCCTTCATCTATTAAGGTGATGTGTGGTTTATTTTAGGATAGATGGATGAGTGGACAGATGGATAGCTGATTTGGGCTATTGTCTCCTGCAGGTAGATACCTCAGATGTTCTTGGTATTGTCAATCGTCTAAAAGGAGAGCTGCCTTCCCAGACCAGCTACATCATAAGGAATGTGAGTTGGGGGCATGGTGCTGCCTTTGAGCCAAACATGAAATGTCTACCACAGGCTTCCCCTCCAGCTCATCTCTCACTGTGGCTCCCATGAGAGCCAGGTTCATCCTGACAATGTCAGTATGAAAGGGTATGGGGAAGCAAGGCCCCTGCCAACCCTGGGCTTCTCTGTTTCCTGTAGGTCTCTGAGTGCCTCCTGATCAGGGAAATGGGCTACTTCTCTCAGTATGTGGCCTGGGTGAGAGAAGAGGTAAGTGAGTGTTCAGAACCCCACCTGGTCTCAAAGTGGACCAGCCGTGGAGCCCTTTAGGGATGCCCTAGGCCTTTGGGATTGGACCCAAACTCCCAAATATGCCGTCTGCACTTCTTGTTCACAAAATGGATCCTGCCCACCCCACTTGTACCCCGAACCCTTTTGTTAGGCCCAAGTATGTATGGGCTAGGTTGGGCATAGCTTTCTAGAACATTCCATCTGCTCCTTGCCCGCACACCTCATGGATAGGTCCCTCACCCTGCTTATTGAGGCTAGCCACCAAAGTCCACCTCTCTTCCACATCCTGTGGGCCATAGCTTCTGGGAATGGTCTGAGCTTCACAGGGGTTTGGCTTGCTCGTGAGTGTCTGTGTACATATGTGTGCATGCATTTGAAGGCAGGCATGTGTGTGCACACACATTGCCTCTCCAGTAACAATGACTTAAAACCATAATGAGGGACACAGAGAGACTTACATATGGGCTGGTGAGCCGATGGAAGGGTTGAAGCTGAGCTGAGCAGAAAGTTCAGTGTCCTTCCTGTAGAGCCGTGACCATTATGTCTGTGCCTGCACCTGCCACTCTGTGAGGTTCAAGTGTGAGGTGGACGCCAGCTATGTCTCTGGGCTTCTCTGTGTTCCTCTTAGCCTTATCATCAGAATATGGGGTACACATCTGTGGGTCCAGATGTCTTCACATATACCTGTCTCGTGTTGGCACCGCAGGTGACTCAACACATTGCCACCTGCCAGCCCCTCTCTGGAGCCCTGGACAATGGCCATGTGATCCTATGTGACATGATGGCTGACCCCTGGGTGAGTGTCCCCCTCTGTATCAGGGATACAGAGCCCAATGGACAGGGACAGTAGGATGGCATGAGGCCAGGAGTGTGGAGTCATTGCAGATCCTCTGGGCACAGGGCTGGTGGGAAGGCACCTCTGCCCAGCCTGCTGAGCTGACCTCATGGCTTCTATCCAGAATGCCTTCTGGTTCTGCTTGGGGTGGTGCACCTTCTTCCTCATCCCCAGCATCATCTTCGCAGTCAAGACCTCCAAATACTTCCGTCCCATCAGGAAACGCCTCAGGTAAGGGGCTGCCAGAACAGCAGTAGGCTTCAGATGTCCAGGAATCCTTTCAGCCTTTGGGCCACACCCTGCCTGAAACCCTCCCTGGCAGAGAGAGCTTCTGGCCCAGCTCTAAGAAGTGTTGGGGCCTCAAAGTCCCCACGTAAGCCTGCCACATCTTTCTTGCTGCAACGTGACCCCCTGGGGGATAGCTTCTTGGGGCTTTCATTCTCGGAAGGGTTCCTGTGGCAGAGACATCAGAGCTCCAGTTGTCCCTGTGTCAGGGCTGAGGGTCTGTGCTGGGGACTCACTTTAGTTATGTGATGTCACAGCTCTACCAGCTCTGAGGAGACACAGCTTTTCCACATCCCCAGGGTCACCTCCCTGAAGCTATAGGAGCCACCCACCGGTGAGTTCTCCCCTTACCCCCCATAATCCCTCAGTGCCTGAGCTGAGAGGCTTAGATCTGGGGAGGGCAGGAAGGCTTGGGGTCTGGGATGATGTAGATGAGACCCATCCCTTCCCCCACCACCTTCACCTGTTTCCTTTTTAGTTTCTAACAGGGCACAGTGATACCTGGGGCTTCCTGTCCTCCTTCCTTGTCTCAGCCTGGACCAGAAGACTTGTGTGATCCCTTTCCCAGAGCCCAGGCTGGCCTCCAGCGCGGGCTGTTTCCTCCCCTTCTCCATCTTACAGGTCCCACCTTTACACTCTTTTCCCCATGACCCAAATCATATACAGCCTCTACTGAACTACAGAGCCAACAGGTTCTTCTGGGAGCTAGCCCTTGTCCTCCTTGCTATGGTATCTCAGCAACAGGAAGGGCCTCTTCTCCAACCATGGGAGCTCCTTTTCCAGCCTTTAAGTGGCACACAGGCCCCTCCATTTACTCTTTCTCCCCACTTCCTGTCCAAGTTCCTTTCCCCTTGTCTGAGTTTGATCCTCCCACCTGCCCCATTCCTGATCCCTCACCTGCCCATTGCTTACTCTCTCCATGGAAGTCCGGCCCCCACCCCAACCCCAACGCCCAGCCCCCATTATCCTCTCTTTACCTGTCCTCATTGCTACCTTTGCTGGCTCCCAGGCCCTGCTTCCTGTCCACCTAACCAAGCAGGCAGCAGATGTCATGGTTGAGGTCATGACTCCTGAGCCTTCTGCAAGCTCTAGTCTGGATCTCCTGTTCCCAGGGAGGTAAAACAGGCCTGTACGAGTACTGAGCTGTCCTGTCTGCACCCCAGGTTAGAAATAGCCACGCTGATCCCATCTTCTCTCTGAGCACTGGCTTCTTAGAGAGGACCAGGGATGTGGGCCACACTGGGGCTCCCCCATTTGCCTCATAGACAGTAGCATGGGTGGTCCCCACTGTCTTTCCCAAGAAGGGAACAGGGTTTTGCACTCCTCTTTCCCTTCTACACATATGGCCTGGGATCACCTCTCACTTGTCTCTGCATGGTCCCTATGTGCTGGACACTGGGTCCAGAAAGGACAAAGAAAAGAGAGACAATATGGATGAATCTCTGTTCCATTAACATGTCACTTCCTAAGCTTTGGTTCTGGGCCCCCGAGGCTGGGTTCCCTAAGGCTAAGGTTCAGTATATGGTTGTATTTAGTGAACATCTGTAGAAAGACTCCCAAGGCCTCTCTATAGGTATCATGGCACTGTGCAGCAATTCAGTGTGAGGAGCAGAGCCTGCCTAGCCATGTGATCCACAGCCTGGTTCTGATGCTGCTAGCTGGGGCACCTCAAACATGTCATGTAGGTCCCCCAAGCCTCAATTTCTTCTTTTGACAAAATGGAGAGGATCCTCAGAGCCTGTATGTAGGGTTGTGAAAGTCAAACATGATGAATGGAAACCCTTGACAGGGCTTGGTGCCTAGCAAGTGCTACTCAGGAATTGAGAGCTGGGCTGAGGGCAGAGGCGGGGCCTAAAGGGGGGCACCCTCTATGATAGCGGTCTGCTGTGTTTCTTCTGGGCATGCTGATGTGGAATTGCATCTTAGGAGCCAGCAGCAACTTTGCTGACAGGACTTAGGATGGTGGTGTCCAATGTGCTAAGACTCCTGCAAACATACTCTCAAACAAGATTTTTTGTTTGGTTGGCTTTTTTGTATTTTTTTTTTCTTTTTTGGCTTTTCCCAGAGGTTGGAAGTTTTTGTTTTATTGTTTGTTTTTTGGTTGTTACTTGTTACTTGGAGGTGAAGAAGTGACACCCGTATTTTTTTTAGATCTAATTGATGGGTTTAAACAAATGAAATAAAAGCAATTAAAAATCACTTCCAGTTCTGTCAGAGTTGCTTATGTGATCTATAAGACACCTGAGCACATTAAGTCAAGTTATTTTGAGCTGAGACTTTTGTGAGATGGCAGCTCCTGAGGAGCTCCTGGTGTCTATTTTGTTCCTTGTTTCCATTAGTTCTATCTTGACCCTTCTATATGGTAGGGTTGGTTGAATGCTGGCCCTCGTATCTGAAAATCTGTCAGAATACTTGGAGGCCTTGGGTGACATTGTCTTCATCAGGATGTTGTGTGCATCTAGCAGTGGCTGAGGACCCAGAAAACAGGGTCTCCTTAATCCATTATCAAGGACCAAATAACTCCAAGTTCCCTGGAGAGTGGGTCTGTACCAACTCTTCACCCCTCCTCACAGCATGGAAGATCCGCCAGGCCCCCTCTTTTGATGGGCATGGAAGATTTACCAAGCCCCCTCTTTTGATGGGCACTCTTGATGGGTGTGGCTTTTAACTAGATGTTCCTTAAAGCTCTGCTCAGCATCTTTTGGAATCAGAACATATCCTATGATGGAAATAACCCACCTTTCCCACCATGCCTGGTTTTATGTGGTGCTGGGATTCAAACACAGGACTTCATGAGCATTAAGCAACTATTCTATCGAATGAGCTACATCTCCATTCTAGCTCTGTGGTTCTTTACAGACCCATGTGCTCTCTGCAGCCTAAATACATATCATTTCAAATGCTCAAAAGGTACAGACATCACACATTCTCTTTTACAAGTGTTGTCTAACTGGGAATTATTCCTCGAGTTTAGCACCAGAAACCTCGTCACGGCCTCTTGGACACTCTTTGGAAAAGTAGTTCAGAGGCTATTGCTGTAAGCACTAGTCACCCAGGGACAGGGGTGCTGGTGGTTAAAAAACAGAAACAGCTGTAGAGAAAAGCAGATACCCATTTTCCTGGTTTAAAATGTTGGGTGGTACCTGGCTGGAACTGCTCTATTTAGAAGCTGAACCAATCTCCCCACTACCCCCACACACAGCTGCTGCAGTTATCTGTCATTACCATGATCTCTGAGGAGGTCAAGTTGTTATAGGTGGTTGAACCTGATGAAACCCCAGGAAATTACCTGTCAGCTGCAAGGTCATATAGATTCTGGGTCCCCTGGTCTTGACCCTACATGTCCTAATGGATTCTCTGCAGGTCTCCATCTCCTGTGGGAACATGGGAGGGAGGCCCTGTCTCCAGGGAGGTTTGAGTTGTATGTCCTTGATGTCCCTGTGTCAGGAGGGATGACAGATTGGGGGCCCTGGGAGCTCCGAAAGATATCCACCTGGTTACTCAGCACAGGGCCCTGTGGCAGATTCTGCCAGAGAAGCACCTGGGGTAGGGCATCTGAGGTCCTAGATGAACAGCTCTGAACAACGCAGGAGGTACAAAGCAAGGGCCACGTGGCTAGAGCTGGGGCTGGAGCAGAGTGAACATTTATTCACTGAGCTAGGCACTGTGTATCAGCCAAGACAGAGGCATGCGTTTAGCTACTTGGTTTAGAATGGGAAGGCACAGAGATTGTGTGAGTGCAAAATCCACCCAGAGGAACCTCCAAGGCTGGTGACATTCCAGTACCCATCGGCATTGCCTGGGTCCAACCTGAGGCCCTGCTCAGGTTGCCCCTCCTCCCATTGTCCAAAGGCCAAAACCATTTCCTTACCTCTTCAGTCCATGTACTTATCGAGGAGGCTGGCAGCCAGCCTGGTAGAATGAAGCCTTTTCTTCTGGCATGTAGTCCTTCCTTGAGTATCTTAGATATGCCATGTGGAGCACTTCACACTCTTCAATCTTACAGACAGCAATAAAGCCGTAGACCTGGGTTAGGGAGGTGAAATGACCTATCCCACCCAGTCCTGACTGCTGCCCGTGACTGGTGTGGAATTTAGGGTTGAGGCAGCCAAGCTCTCATCTGCATTGAGGGTACCAAGGAGCCAGGGCCAATGGAGACTTGGGGGAGCTAAGCCCAAGGTAAGATGAGATGACCTCCAGTCACTAAAGCCAAAAGGAAGAGGCATCAGAAAGCACAAGAGGGTCAGCAGGATGGCTCACTGGATTAGGGAGCTTGCTGCCAGGCCTGGTGGCTTGAATTTGATCTTAGGACCCAAATGGTTGGAGAACTGACTCCCACAAGTTGTTCTTTGACCACCACATGTATACTGTGTCCCATGCCCCCTTCCTGACCACTTTAAAAAAAGAGCAAGTGGGATTCATGGGTTCCTGCAATTTGGGAAATGTAGGGAACAGATACTTCCTCCTCCCCTCTATAGGGGCACTGTTAGCTGTGTAAATGGCAGAGCTTAGGGAGGGCTACCGCTCCCAATGAAGGCTCCTGTGAGAGTTGGCATTGGACTGTATTGGTTGGCCTGTTCCAGGCCTGGAGGAGGAACAGACTTCAGGCATGAGCAGGTGCCTCTGCCCCTGGGTGTTGGAAGCCCCTTGTTAGCCGTGATCCCCCAGCCGAATAATAGCCATGTGGAAGATCTGATGTGGTCGGAAGGAAGGTCGCCAGCAACGGCTGGGGGTGCTGGTTTGTTTTTGTCAACTTGACAGGGTTAGAGTCACCTGGAAAGATGGGCCAGCAGTCACAAAAATACCTTCATCAGATGGCCTGTAGGCAATGTGTAGGGCATTTCTTGATTAATGTGACTGATGTGAGTGGGCCCAGAACACTGGGGGCAGTGCCAGCCCTGGCAGGCGGGTGTGGGTTGCACAAGAAAGCAGTCTGTGCAAGCCAATAAATGTGTTCTTCCATAGTTGCTGCTTCAGTTCCTGCCCTGACCTCCCTTCGAGATGAACTGTAGCTGAAATAAACCCGTTCCTCCCACAAGTTGCCTGTGGTCGTGGTATTTATCACAGCAACAGAAAGCAAACTAGAACCTAGGACATTAGGCCCTGAGGACCCTTGGAGCCGCCCATGACAGACTGAGGGTGAGCCATCACAGAAAGAAGCTTAGCTGGAGGCTACCCATCTACCCTCCCTGGAAGCAGGCCTCCTGCCTTCGGAAGCCCAGTTTGACTCCAGTGGCGGCCACTTCAGGGCAAGTGTGCCAAAGGAGAGTGCCAACTGTGCTGTGTGGCCTAAAGTGACCAAGAACCACTTTTGTTGCCCTCCCAAGACAGTGTCTTGGGCCTGTCAGGTTTCCACATGGCTTGTGGCAAAAGAGATTTCAAGGCTCTGAGGAAGACAGTAGAAGTGACTCGGAGTGTTTACAGTTCCAGGCTGTGTCTGCTTCTGAGATTTACAGCATTGGAGGAAGGCTTTTTTTTGGGGGGAGCTCTTGTGGGATTAGACCACCTCCACCCAGTGGAGACCCTCTTACAGGTAAGGGCTGTGAGGTGTGAATCTTGAGAGGTGTCCCTTCCCACTCTCCTTGGCCCCCTATAAGGCCCAGACACAGAAGGGCCTGAGGGAAAGATGTGAAGCTAGAGGCTCCTCAGAGCTAAGTCTGAGGAGCCAGGGGAGAAAGAATTAAACTCGAGCCTGGTATGGAGAGGTCATGAGCAAGAACTAAGGATGGTTTGAAAGACTCCCACCAAGGTTTCTGGTTGTGGTTGTGTGAATTTCTCTCCTGGACAGGAGGAAAGGGCTCCAGTTGGCTGAAGTGGCCCACAGCTGCATCTTCAAGTGTTTTAATACAACCATCCCTCCCTCTCCCTCTTGCAAACTGCATCCCACCACGCCTCCAGGCCCACATGAGGAAGCCACAGCTAAAACCCATCAGCCCAAGGATTGCCAATCCACACTGGGCCGCCTTCGGCATCCTAAACCTATTTTGAGTCCAAGGGGCCTCCAAAGAATCTTTCTCTTAGAGGATGTCAGCCTGGGCTCACGTGGCAGAGCAAGGCTAAGGTCTACTTGAGGAGCCCTGCCTTGGCTCTTTTTCATTCCTCCATCTTCCAGAGACTCTGGAAGGACCCTGGAAGTGTCAGGGGTATCGAGAAAGTCCCTGAGAGAACCCAAGGAACAAAGGGCCGGGTGACACAAGGCTCCTGGCAGGGCACAGATGCCTCATGCCTGTGTTTTATGAGAGGCACCTGCTGGGTAGTGGCTATAGGAGGAGGTTGCTGGCTCTCTGGTAGGTCCAGGAGGGGAGGCCTCAGTTCTAGGCTTGCTGTGCCACAGCCTGTTACTCTCAAGGAATGCATCTCAGACAAGTGAAACTTAGGCAAGGGCACCAAGCAGAGATTTGTGGCTTCAGAAAGAGAAGCTTGGGGTGGGCTGCTTGGAAGACCCTGCCTACTCAGACAGTGCCATGAGCAAGGCCAGGCCTGTCCCAGGCTGTGTGATAAGCAGTGTCCAAATTGACCCCTGAATTTTGAACATACATAACTAACTGGTGGGTAGAAAATTCCCCCACAACTGGCTGAGTGAAAAGAACTGCCTGGATAGCTGGTTTGTCTTTTCTGAGTTACCGTCATTAGCATAGACTAGGATAATGACCCTTCTCTCCCAAGCCCATGTGTGACTCCAAAGCCTCAACCTGCCCTTCCTTATGGAAACTTGCCTAATGCCAGGAAGACAGCTGGGAAGACTGGCAGTGACCTGGGAGCCTCTGCAGTCCTTGCCATCCCCTGTCCCAGAGTATCCTCAGTCTGCTGAGTCCCTTGCCCAGACTGAAGTCCTGATGGGCAGATGACAGAGCTGTCACCTCCCCTCTGGGGATGGCCTTCCTGCCTCTGGGGATCAACAGCCTCAGGGTTTTTGCCCCTGATGGTCTGGCAGCTGGAGCTAATTGGCTGACTGAATAAAAAGGGGGTGGTATAGGGTAGGGAGGGCAAGCAAGTGCTCCTGGGCTTTCTGGGAAGGAGGGGCTTGCTCAGGCTCTGTTTCCATGGGAACCACTGGCACAGGCAGGCTCCTCAGGGCACCAAAAAGGGAAACTTGGCGCAGGTTTCGGCACCTGGCTCCTGGTGGATTCCCTCAGAGATAGAAAATGCTCAAGAGTTTGTCTCCTATAGGGGAGGAAGGAGGCCTCCTGGGGATTCTCAGGTACCTTGATCCCTTCTTCCACCCCCAGATCCCACTCCAAGGGATCTGGGGGACAGTCTGTGGCTGCCCAGAATCCCTGAATTTGGTCCCAGCCTCAGAACCAAAGGACAGTGGAACTGGGGAAGTGTGAAGTGCTTGCTCCAGCTAGAAAGGTTTCCATACTGCAAGGCCTATACGGTTACAGAGGTAACTAAGGATGGGATAGAAGGTGGACAGACCCCAGGAGTCACTTTAGTGATGTAATCCCTAGGGCTCCTCTCTTTGTCCTGGGAAGGAGCTGGTGATGAAGTGACATCCCCGCTTTCCCTGTGACTAGGAAGGGTGGGAACAGACCATGTATTAGAGGGAGATGAGAGCCAGGGACAGACACTGAGCATGAGGCAGAGGCACTGAGAGCCTGAGAGACCAGGATTAGGAGGAGCCCTGGAGAAAGAGAAACTGGGGGATGGAGGGAAAGAGGGAGGGAGGAAGGGAGGGGAGACAAGAGGGAGGAGGGAAGAGGCAGAGGAGAGGTGGAGCTAAGACCCAGAGGGAGGGAGAGTGGAAGGAGTGGGCAGGGGGCGGGGGAGAAACCTCCAGTGACAATTGCGTCTGGGTCCAAGCAAACATGAGGCAGCTGCCAGTCCGACCAGGCAGTCTGGCTTGTTCGGGCTGCAAAGCGGGAAGGCTAGTGACAGTCCCCTTCAGCAGCCAAGATGCAGAGGGCCAAGGTAGGCGCTGAGGGGCTGGGGGCTTGCCTGGACTTTGGGGCTTGGATATTGCTCTTGACTAAGGAGTATCTTGGTAGTGTTTCTGATGCCTCTTTTCTTGACCCCTACTCCTGCTACAATTGTTGGGGGCATCCTGGCTGGAAGGCTAGAATCCTGTGGCTCTTTTGTATGCAAGAAGCTCTGGTTGATTTGTTCAAAAGAGAAGCTTGAGGTTATCTCCGTGGCTGGTCCCTGGAGCAGGAGCCAGGGTAGCTGACCCTGAACCTAGCCTCATAGTCCTTAGTGAGACACAGGAGCATGGAGAGGAGGGGTGTCTTGTGTGTGCGGGCTAGCCAATGAGTGCAGCTTTCAAGTAATCCTTCGGTTAATGAATGAATGAAGACCCCCTTCTTCTTACAGCAGCATTAGACCCCCTAATAGGACCACAAGCAGCGCCCCCTCCATGGGGGCTGTTGGGAGATGGAGAGAGAGGGGAGGCAAAGAGGCACCAGGCACAGAGTTCATGAAATAGTTGGGAGGTGAGGGGAAGGATGGAGCCAAGAAAAATCAGCTATGTCCCAGCTTAGGGTTGACCCTCGGGGAGTCTGGCCTGGAGCCCAGCATGCTGTCTACACGTCCAGGATGGTCTAGCTTAGGGGGAGGAAGGACCAGATCCAGGTCCAGCTAAACACCCCAAATAAGGAAATCAAGGTCTTATAAGAAGAATAGACATTGGGCTGGCATCTGGCAGTTTCTCCTCCTAAGAGATGGCTTCCTGGCCCCCATTCCCCATGATGATAAACAGCCCAGAGAGGGAGGGGGACTGCTTTCAGGCCGTACTGCCCCAGAGTCCAGGATACTACCCCTGTCCTGTCTGGTCCATTGCCCAGGATGCCCAGAAGAATCAGCAGGTGGAACAAGTCTTTTGAGTACCAGAGCCTCAGGACATCTTGAAAGGTACAATCTCTCTTATCACAAGTGTCCCTAGCAACCTCTGAACTGGCAGGGCAGAAGCATAAACAGCCCTTTCTCTGTCCCAACCTCACACGCACACTCAGATCACAAGCACACTGCACGGTGGCGTGCACCCACAAGCACTGGTGTGAGCATGGGCCTCAGTCATGTAAGCACAGTCACATATACCCTGTGGCTGTTTCCTCTCCCCCTTTCCGCCCCCAGAGCCAGGCAGTGTGACTCTGTGTGTCCACAGATACAGACATTTCTACGGCCATAGATGTGCACACAGCTATCTCTGTCTGCCAGCAGGGGACAGCACCCTTTTCCTACCCCTCTCTGGTGCCTCTAATTTCCAGATGTCTCCCTGAGACCTTAGCTATCACTAACCTTACCAGATGGCAGATGGCCAGAGTCCCACAGTCTATCTGGCTATTATTCTCTTGGCCATTGTGCCCTCTACCTACAATTGATTCCTGGGAACCCATGTAGCTCATCGTCTTATGCCTGCCCCTGGATTCCTGTATAGCATGGTCCACAGAAATGGTAGTGCTGGGTAAAGTCCCCACTGTCCCTTCCAGTGGGAGATAAGAAAAGCTTCATCCATAGTGGTAATCCCCGCAACAACCAGAAGGCTGGGAGTTGGTCCCACTTGTAAAAGCCAATAGCTGCCCCCCCCGCAAGTCCTGCCCCTGCCTTCTCCCCATACACCCCAGCCATTTCTTTATTGGCCCTGCAGAATGGGTACTATATCTTCATTCTAATGTTACCAAAGCTCAGAGTGGGCACCGACCACAATGCCAGGCCTCCCGAGCCAAACTCTGTGTCAGGAGGCATGAACCAGCAGCTTCCAGATTCTGAGGTGGCTAGGTGTCTCCATGGAGCAGTTTGGCCCTGGGTACCTCTCCAGTGTCTTGCAGGATGGGCCTTAATTCATCTTGTTTGAAAGGGCAATAACTGAGAACCCAGACAGGCCAGGGAAGGAAGTGGCCCTAAAGGGCTGCCCTTCCCTGTAAGCCATAGTTGTTATGCAGCCCACCAAGTAGTTCTTGGTATTGTTGTTATTCTACAGGTAAGGAACAGAGGTGGGTGGGTCCTAGACTGAAAGCAGTGGCGGAACTGGATTTGAACTCTGTCTTGTCCTCCACAGCACAGGCCCCAAGGACTGGGTGGGGGTGGGAGGTAGGAGTGGCAGGAGCAGACTCCAGGGGAGAGGAGCATGATAAAATCACGCAGGCAGCCAATGAGGTTGACTCCAGAGTTTGTGACCAGTTTGTATCTTTAGCCTGCTACTCAGTGACACAAGTGGGACTCTGCCTGCATTAGCCCCCACTTCCGCTTTCTGGACTGTGGATCCAGATGTGTGAACGAAAGAACCCAAGCTTCCCTCTGTCCTCATTTCTTTTCTGTTTCTCATAGCCCAAGTAGGCTTTGCTGTATAGCAGAGGATGACGCCCAGCCTCTACTCCTGAGCAGGGGGATTACAGATGTGTGCTCAAACAGGGCTTCCTACACACCAGGCAAAGAATTGTAGGAGCTTAGTTCACCTCATCCCAGTTCCTATTCTCATCCTCATCTTCCACAAAAGTGGAGAGCTGTTTGGGTAACTCGGCCTGGCCTTGGGGGCACCCTCTGCTCCCTCAGCCCCCTGGGTCTCACTGGGATTCTCAGGAGCAGTTGCAGGCTCTCCTATAAGGCCTCTGTGAGGGCTTTCAAGGCAGAGGAGGAGAGGAAGAGCTTCAGCCCTGCCCCATTGTGAAGTGTGCACGGTGTGGGTGACTCACAGTGCTCTCCCAGCTCCCAGCCCCAGCTGACTGATGTTCACCCCCCCCCCGAACAGGTGCATCTGTCAGCTGTGATCAGCCCACATCCTAGAACACCACAGAGCAGCCATGTGACAGTGCCAGAGCTGGAGCGGGGCGGCAGGGGGGGGGGGAGCGGTGACAAAACAGGAGGACAGCCAAGAGAGGCCTGTCCCTCAGCTCTCCCACTCTGGCCTGTCTCAGCACTCCATCCAGTTGCCCCTCCATCAGGCTTGTGCTCCACTCACACGCCGTGAGGGAGAGCAGAAACACTAAACTGAGGGCATCATCTCCCTCCCGTCACCCCTGCCTTCCCCTGCCTCCAGCATATGGGTGACTTCTGGGACAAAGAGGAGCTCCTTTGTCCCTGGTGCCATGCCCATGTCTGGCCTTGTGGTAAAAGCCTCTCTCCAGAAAGATAATCAGGGCAGTGGTCCCAGGCACCTCAGTTCTAGCTAGGGCTCTGTCACCATACCACTGAAGCAAATTGCCCTTTTTTGGGCTGCCAACTTCACACTGGGGACTAGGACATGCCCATAGCCTCTGCCTGGGCCCCAGCTGTCCTATGAGCAACTGAGAATACCATACTGCAACTCTCTTCAATGCCCCATAAGTATATAGAAAAGCCACCAGCCCATCAGCACCCATACTCACTATTTGGTACTAGAGAGTCCTGGTCACAGAGGAAGTGGCTTGGCAAGGGCTCAGGGCTGCCCCTGATGTCTGTGAGCCCTGGCTCTGCATCAGATGGGTCTGGGCTCAGTTCTAGATTCTTCATATGTCAGCTGTGTGATCACAGACAAGTTACTTAGCCCCTCTGTGCCATGGTCTCATATCACTAATCTCCTAGAAGGATAAAATCCTTTACTAATACATTTAGCCTGGACCTTACCTATCTGCCTGCTGGAGTATAACCTAAGAAGGCATCCTGACAGAGGGTTACCAGTGAGCAGTTTAAGTCAACATGCGTTAATGGAGTGTCTTCATTGTCGAGGGCAGGAGAGCTCTTGTCCTGGCAAGTTAGCAGGCACAAGACACAAGACCAGGACAGCCCAGTTCTGTCCTCTGCTGCTGCAACATCCCGAGTCTAAGGCCCAGGGATGTGTGCATGTACACATGTGCACAGGGGCGGGTATGTTATGTCCCAGTATGTGTGTGCATGCTCCCACCTACAGGGACATGTGACTGTCTCAGCTTCCCCAGGATGAGTTACCTGGCTCACATCTGTCTGTGCCCAGGAGTGGGTGGAGAATTTAGGCTCTCAAAGCTTCCTGGTCCCTGGGGGCCTGCACGACACAACACCCACCACTGCTTTCTGCCATCTGTCCCATTCGATGGAAATAGAGCAAACAACTAGTGGGTGCTGGGTGAGCCAGCATGCATCTCAGCAGTCCCTATAAAAGGAGGGGTGCAGGTTAACCCCACATCTGTCTCAGGCCCTGGCCTTAGGACAGTCTTCATGGAAAGGAAGGGGATTGAGAACCCGGGGCACCCATCCCCTGCCCGGAATTTCTAGCTGCTGGGATAAGTACTCCAACCCTTAGCTGCACTTCTAATTCTATAGAGTAGAGGGTTTTGAGTTTTGCTTGTTTTGTTCTTAATAAAAATGAGTGAGCAGGTGATATGATCCCCAGGCAGCAGACCCCTCCTGGCAAGGTTGGTATAGCTACTTAGATCTCCAGGCCTAAACCAAGGGATAGTCAAGTATTTGGTCCAGGATTGTGCAGTGGCTGACTGGTCATGGTCCTCTTCCCTCTGCACTCAGCTGCCTGAAATAACTCCAGCCTGCCCCAGATCCCCTCACCTGCCCAAGAAAAGGTGTGGCCTCTGCACCAACGTCCAGTATTTCCTGGTCACTTTTAGAAAACTCACCGCTGTTTCCATCCATGAAGTAGTGTGCTTGTTTTCTTTTGTGGTGTGTGTGTGTGTGTGTGTAGCATATGCCCACTGAATGCCTCTACCAATCTTTCCCTGGATTGATATTTGGGGTTCTCTGGGGCCAGGGACAATACTAGCTGCCAAGGTCCTCACCTTTGGGCACCCCACTAGTCCTACTCCATCTTCTTGCTAGACAGACCCTCACAGGAGAAGGTGTGCCCTGCACGTCACAAGCAGTGTGAAGGGCAACTGTCCCGTGGACATCGTGGCTTTCAGAGAGCCTGTGTTCGGTGAGGAACCATGTAGTAGGATGTTGGGGTCAAGGGGCTGATGTGAAAACCCTTGGGACAACAGGATCTGGTGCCCAGCTGGGCCACCCTGAGGGTAGACAGAGGCTGAGGCGCATGCTGCTCCCTCTGTCTCTATGGGAATAGGTTTACAACCATTACACCTGCACCACTGCTCCTCTCCATCCCACACGAACAGGTTTGCAGGTCAGAGGACAATTTTCAGAAGTCAGTTCTTTTCTTTACCAAGTCTCCAGGATTGGCCCCAAGTGCTTCCACCCACAAAGCCATCTCGTCAGCCCCAAAGGAAACTTTTATTGAAGTAAGTATGGTGAAAAAGGACATAGACCTCATGTCCACTTCCCCCAGTTTTTCTAGAGAAATTCATACAATATCATGTTGGGCCTGGTGGTACATGCCTGAAATCTCAGTACCTGGAAGGTAGACATGGAAGGATCAGGAGTTAAGGTCATTCTTAGAAAACTGTGAATTTGATGCCAGCCTGGGATATTTGACACCCTGATTTAAAAGCAAGCAAACAAACAAACAAACAAAAAAGGGAAACAAAGAAAAAACTAGTACAAACTGGGTGCATAGCACAGGCCTTTAGTTGTAACATTCAAGAGGGGGAGGCAGGTGAGTCTGTGAATTTTGGGTTAGCCAGGTCTAAATAGTGAGACCCTATTTAAAAACAAAACCCAACTAGTTCAATATCCCCCCCATGATATGGACACCGATTCAGCCACCAATGTCATTCAAATTGCCCCAGTGTTCTGTGTGTGGTTTGTGTGTGTGTGTGTGTGTGTGTGTGTGTGTGTGTGTGTGACTGTTAGAACATTATTGCTGTAGTTCATGTATCTGTCACTACCATCCAGGTACACAACATATACAACAAGGTCCTTCTGGTTTGCCCTTTTGAAACCACACTTTTCTCCTCCCTTTGCCCTTCCCCCGCCCAATTCTTGGCCTTTTAATCTGCTCCCATTGCTAACGTGCTGTCATTTCAAAATGCTATGTAAATAGACTCACGTGGCATGTGACCTTTCAGGATTGGCTTTTTCATTCACTTTAATTCTGAGTCTCCATCCGAGTTGTGATGCCTGTCCAGGCCCTCTCTTCTCATGGTTCTGAATTTCTGGGACAACTGTACCACCTTGGTTTCATAATTCCTCCACTGAGGGACATCTGGCTGTTTCCAATTTGGAACTCTTACAAATAAAACTATCATGAATATTCAGTTATAAGTTTTTGTTTGAACATAAATGTTCAACCACCTGGGACCCAAGCACAAAATCTCCAGACTATGTGTTAGCTATTTGTTCCATTCGCTAAGGACCTCCAAGCTGTTCTTCTCCAGAGTAGCTACAGCGCTCTGTGTTCCCAGTGGCCCAGGTTCCCATCTGCACTGTGTTTGCTGTTGTTGCTTTTTTTTTTTTTTTTTTTTTTTTTTTTTTTTTTTTTTTTAATTTCAGGCATGAAGTGTTTCTCATGGCGGGTTTTAAAAAAATGTGTTTATTTGCATGTTTGTGTGTGTGTGTGTGTGTGTGTGTGTGTGTGTGTGTGTGTGTGGGGGCAGGAGGATAATTTTATGAAGTCTATTCTCTCCTTCCACCTTTGTGTGGATTGTAGAAATCAAACTTGGGTCATCAGGCTTGTGCTGTGGGCGCTTTAGCCACTGAGCCATCTTGCTGGCTCTCCTTCTGGATTTCATTGTGCACTTCCCTGGTGGCAGAAGATGCCATTTCCCCAGGTGCTTATGTGCCATCTCTGCCCGCTTTGGTGACATGTCTTTGCATTTTTCTTCTGGATGGATTGTCCTTTTACTGTGGAGTTTATGAAGTGAGGGGCTTCCAGGTACCAGCCTCTATCTATGATAGAAAGAGCAGTTCACATGGGTACACACACACACACACACACACACACACACACACGAGTAGTCTCAGAGCTGACCTACTTGAGTGACCTGAGAAAGCAGAATAATAAGCTACAGTGCATATATGCCATATATATTCTGTTGACATCAGAGACTGAGAAGGAGACACATGGGAGTGACCTAGTTAGAACAGTGCTCCAGGGGTCTGACACCTGAATGTGGCCTTGAGCATCCAGGCGACAAGTGTCCAGTGCAGGGATCAGCAGATACCCAGGCAATGTTGTGGAGAGAGGAAGTCTGTGAGGAGCAGAGTGAGCTGGCGGCAGGCACGTGACATGGTTTGATTTGCAAAGTGGCAGGAAGCCATCAGGGACTCCAAGCAGGGGCAAATGGATGTTTAATTTCTGTCCCATTGTCCTCATTGATCCAGCAGCCCTCACTCTGTCACCTTCCCTCACAGAAGCCCATAAGGGTTGAGGGGGCAGTGGGGTCAACTCCCTCCCCTCCATGACTTTGAGCCTGGGAGGCAAGAAGAGGGTGTCAGAAGAGCTATTTAACATTCCTTGGCAGCTCAATCAGACCCTCTCCCAGACAGACAAGTGTCAAATATTCATGAGGGTGACCCGTGCTCACCCCTGCCCGTCCCCTCCTCCTGCCTCCCTCACAGTGTGCTGGGCCCAGGCCATAGGCTTGACTCCTCTGTGGGGGTATGGGCAGGCTGGCGCCCTTCTCTCAGCCATTTATTCTCTTCTGAGATCTCTGCTACCTCAAGAAGGGAAGCTGTCACAGTCTTTGTGCAGAGAGGCTCAAAGGGAGAATTGTGGACACCCACCCAGATGGAGGAGCCAGTTCAGTTATTCAGATATCACTCTGACTCTATGCTAGGGAGAAAAATGGCACCAGAACTCCCTAGCCCAGGGTATTCATAAACAGTTGCTTTTGAAGACTGTAAATCTGGTTAGGGAGCTTGGGGACCCCAACAGCCACCTTCTGAAATCTCTCCAGGGACCTAGTCTCATGAACAATGACTTTGGAAGTCTGTGACCAAGGTTACCCAAACTTTGGAGTCAGAATGCCGTGTTACAGTGTGGTTTATCCCCAAACTCCCCATGGATTCATTTTCTTGTCTGTAAAAAATATGGTGTGACCCACCTTGCTGGGTTGTGACAGCAAGATGACTTGAGCTCA